AAACTGGATTGGTAAAGAGAGCATCGAGATTGAAGATGGATTGGGGCGTGATCGAGGTCGGAGGATCAGTCGACATGGTCGTTTACTCCATCGCATCGTGGATCGAGGTGATTATGACGACGTTGAATTGGCGGACTAATCTATTGAGAACCCTGGCGGGCTGAAAATTCAAGTGGGGCTCTGTGCATCGAAAAGTTGATAGGCCGCTAAGGGTTAGGGTTGTCCATACCGTCTAGCCGTTCCTCTGCGCGGCCTCAGCACTGTGAGTGTGGTGTAAGGCACTTGGTGTTCAGTGTGTTTAGTGTGATTTAAGCAGTTAGCATGATGGCCCGGAAACCCCTTTTGTGCGCCGCCACCAAGTCGCCGAGAAGGCGAGGATATGATACATGGTGTGTACTATACATAGCTGACAGCTCTATGCTGGCGTATCTCCGGCTTGCTCTCGTGTGTCCGTCGCAGAAAAACAAAGCAGTTCTCAACGCCAACAATACGCTCTAACCGAGTCTCCTGGGCTTCGGGCTCCTGGTCCCACCAAACTTGAGGCGTGTCGCATCAGATACCCGCACAATCTTACTTCGCAGCAACTTGCCCTCGTTTCCCAGTAAAACCTTGACGACAGCCTCTCTCCCAGCACCAAAGCCCCGTAGGGTTACCTCCAGTTTTTGGATATCCTTGACAATGCCCTTCTGATGGAGCTTGTCCACCACGTACGCGCCTAGCTGGTAGGCGGAGTCGTAATGTTTCCGATTCGACTTCTTAAACCCAAGATTGCCGCATGAGAGGGAGATAACGGCATCTCGGTTCGGTTTCGTGACCGTGACGTGTGTGTTATGCCTGTGGGCGTAGATGTGAAAGTGGTACGGCTCATCGTCTTGCTCCGGTTCCAATTGGATCTCATCGGCGAGGTCGACGACGGGGGCTACGGGTGAACCTTGACCACTTATGCTTCGAGCGAGCATATCCATCGCTAAGGAGTTTCGGGACTTATCAGTGGGCTTTGTCGGACCGGCCTGCCTCGGTTGGGGCGTTGAGAAGGCGCGAGTCCATAGGGGTGTGTTGGGAGCCGGCCTCGAGATGGACTGGAATAGGTTCTGCGCCAACAGGCGAGTTGTCGAAAACCGGCTCATTGCGGGAGCACAATTGGCCTCGGGTCAATTGTGGTCGTGAGATGTCGACTCGGGGCTCGTCGTTGGGACTTGGGCCGAAGTCGCGCGAGTTCAAGTTCCGCCAGTGCAGTGCTGCAGTTGGAACTGTCCAGGGCCAGCTCCATCAGGCCCAAGAAATTTTGATCGGTAAGGCGGCCGTTGACACACCGAGCCGGCAATTTGCCGAGGTGCCCGCGCCAAGCCAAGTGGAGCTTGAGGTCGTAGGGGCAAAAAATTCCGGGGATCGCTCACGACGCCCGCATGGCAGAATTCCCATCACCTGCGCTAAAACCCAGAACAACCAACCAAGCCCAAATCCACAGTTCTCTGCTGGTCGCCTACATCTTGCTTCCCGCACTGTCTCGCCGGCTGAAGGCGACCCAGCTTGTTATACTCAAATATGAACTCGATTCGACACGTGCAGAGGGTGCCGGGTGCCCCATTGCGGGACTCGGTGCTTCGCAATGTCTCCTCCGCCACGAGGTCAACAGCACATTCCCGGTTATTGCCCAGCCGGACGACTCGTCTCAGCGCCGCCGATTTCCAACCAACCCCCACATTCATGCCTCTACGATCCCCATTCCTACCCAGCACGGTAAGCCTCGAAAGGCTGTCGAAACCGAGCGCGCGCTCCTTCCACATCTCGTCCGAGGCTCGGCAGAAACAAGCAGAAGAGAAGGATTCCAAGACTGGGGCAGAGGCTTCCGAAGGCCAAGAAGCCCAGGAGACTGCTACCAAACAAGCTGCTGACAGCAAAGGCGAAGCCAAGGGAGAGAAGGCAAAGGAGGGTGAGGAAAAGTCCGAGAGCAGGAAAGAAAAAAAGGCAGACGCTCCCCCTCCTCCCCCTCATGGAGATAAGACGCCCTGGCAGGTGTTCAGGGAGACCATGCAGACCGAGTTGAATCAGTCCAAGGAGTGGAATGAGTCGACAAAAGCATTGGCTTCCTCGGCGCACGAGCTTGCCGAAAGCGAGGCTGTCCGGAAGGCGCGGTTGGCATATGAGGCCACCTCAGGCGCGGTCTCTAACACCGCTGCGACCGTGGTCAAATCAACCGCCGGTGCCATTGGCAAGGGCGCTGTCTGGACCTGGGAAACACCTGTGATGAAGGGGGTTCGCAAGGGGGCTAACAAGACGGGAGAAGTCCTGGATAAGGCGACGAAACCCATCCGCGAAACCGAGGCCTACCAGAACGTCAAGAATGTGGTTGACGATGGGAGCAGCTCAAGATATGGTGGATGGGTAGAGAAGGAGGAGCGGAGAAGGCGCCGGGAGCAGCTAGAGAAGCAAAATGGCGTACACGCCCAAGGTGTTCCCCAGGAAGATCCCGAGTAAGGCTACCACAACTACTCTTCGGTCATCAGCTAACTTGCTTTCTCAGGGCTGGAACTAATGTTACACTTCACAAGGACGCCGCCTGGAAGGAAGCTTGGAGGGATTTCAGAGACTCCAACAAAGTGGTCCAGGGCATCTTTGGCATGAAGAACGTCTACCAGGAATCCGAAAATCCTCTGATCTCAACCGCCCGAAGCATCACGGACCGCGTCGCTGGTTTCTTCGCCGAGAACGAGACGGCCCAGGTTATCAAGAAGCTCCGTACTATGGATCCCAACTTCCAGGTGGAACCCTTCCTGCAGGAGCTTCGCGAGTACATCCTGCCTGAGGTGCTGGAAGCCTATGTCAAGGCTGATATCGAGACTCTCAAGCTCTGGCTATCGGAGGCTCAATACTCGGTTTACGAAGCCCTGACCAAGCAGTATCTGCAGGCCGGGCTCAAGTCCGATGGCCGCATTCTTGATATCAGGGGTGTAGACATTCTCAAGGCTCGCATGCTCGAGCCTGGTGAGATTCCTGTTTTCATCATCACTTGCCGAACACAGGAGGTCCATGTCTACCGAAACGCCAAGTCAGGCCAGCTGGCCGCCGGGATGGAGGACAAGGTTCAGCTTGTCACCTACGCGATTGGCATCACACGGATTGCCGAGGACGTCAACAATCCAGAGACAAGAGGGTGGAGATTGATCGAGATGCAGAAGAGCGGTCGCGATTATTATTGATCAAGAGACACCAGAGAGGTGCTCCGTTTGGAGACACGACTATTGTCTTACCACCCGCCATAAACTGCCTGTTCAAATTTATTGTATTCGACCATGGGGGAGAAAATGTATCATACCGCACTTGGGATCTGGTCCAGACGGCTAGGAGTTTGGGTTCCGATGTATAGAGAGGCTTGGGGAGCAGGCGCCTTGAGCATTTTCGCCATACCACACACCACTCTGGTTTTCGGGGGCACAAGGGCGAATGTGTCTCGCGGTGGGAACGCTTGTATTGTACACTAGAATCCGTGAAGAGAGGGATGGGACCCTCAGCCCAAAAGCGACCACGAGACAAGCGTGGTAGCAGCAACAACCAATATATTGACATAATACTTACCACTTACTACGGTGGCTTTACAGTCTCGGCTCAGGTTGATTTGAGGAGACTAATCTCAGCAACGTCAAGGTTCAAGCTATTCAACCTGCTTCTCGCCTTGCCCATCCTCCCTCCTAAAGTCCTCCCGCACTTGCATGAGCGCCTTGCCCAGCAGATTCCACCCCCACCTCCCCCGATTCTCGGCCGCATTAGCAGTACCAAATCCGATCCCCCAGATCCTATCCATGGGGGACGCCTCGACAAGCTCACGGTCTCCCGTACTCAGAAGTAGCTGACGCAGGCTCAGGAGCGCCACGAGTGGTGCTCCGACGGCCGACCCCCGACGGAGCCCCTCCTCCCTGACGGCACGCGTGAACTTGAGGCGAGTCCCCTCGCGCACGATAACCTCGCGCTCGTGATTCCAGATGCGGGGGTCAAAGTTTTTTACCTTGCGGCCAAGGGCCTTTACCTTACGAGGATGATCGGCTGCAAGGATCAAGTCGCCGACTTCGGTGTCGGAGAAGAGGCGAGCCTTTCGGTACATCATGTAGCTGGGTGGTGTTAGTGTCTGGTGGGAGGTGCGGGAGGGAGAAGATGCGTACTGCTCGGCTGTTCGGTAGAGGATGCCATCTTCGCCCGTGAAGTCACATGGGTACCATTGTGAGAGCCAGCCAGTTTCGGTATCGGTTTCGCGCCAGAAGTAAACGACGGGGTTGGGAGAGGGGACTGGTGTTGGTGTTTCGGTACCCGAGGTTTGGCTCAACAGTGCGTTCTCCAGCTTAGCCGTACTGGCTACCTTTTGGCTCCGTTTATTTTTCTTCGCCATATTTGCTTGCGTCGTGACGGTTGTTGCTCCCTTGGTAACTTTACTCCTTGTTGTGACTGGCATGGTATCCAATCCTTGCGTCGAGCAGCTCGCATTCTCTTTGGTACCCGAAGTGGGAAAATTAACGTTCACGTTTGGGGTGGGAGTGAGGGCTGCTCTTATGCAACTCACCGTTGCGGTGTCGGTCGCAACTGCTTCGGTGAAGCCATGACCCCAGGGCAGTTCAAGTCGTCCCTGCCGGTGAGTCACGGCCGCAACTCAATGATCGATCAGGATAAGCCTTATGAGGCTTTCGACCAGGACTGCATCAACCACAGCATCGTTACCCTCTTCTGCTCGCCTTTAGCTTCGGCCCAGAGTCGAGGCTGTGTATTGGAGCCAATAGATGCGCTCCATGTGCGTATCTTGTGACTGGTTGCCCGCGGTGAAGAACAGCCCCTGCGCCAGTCGCACCCAATAGGTCTAATTCGGATCAAAATTGAAGCATTACAACTTGAATGAAAGAGAGTCAATTGCTTGAAGTAGCCGTCGACATAATCCCAGCACAGAAGACCAGATTACCGTCTCGGCAACCGTACGATATGGTGAGCTATTGCAGCACCCCTAAACAAGAATCATTGGGGTTATGGTCTAGTGGCATGATTTCTGTTTTGCAATGCCCCATGGGTCTTTCGCATACATACGGTCCCGCGTTCGATCCGCGGTTGCTCCATATAAGATTATATATTTTTGGCCATCATCTTCACAATTTGTCTGTGGAGGGCTTTGGCACGGCGAGTGGAGGTTGAAGCTAACGTAGTTGACCCACTGGGCCTTTTCAGCTCCGGGTTTCTGAGCCAACCTAAACAAACTCAACACAACCCAAGCCTGCGCTGTTTCCTGCCCCCCAATCGTGTAATTTTCGTCATCCCCCACGCCATTAAAATACGACCCAAATCCACGCCCAACTTCACCCGTTATATCCCTAACATTGGTCATCACCGCCACTCCTGACACACGGTCAAATGATTCAACAACCGTCTTAACCAGGGTGATATGTGCACAGGTCCCGGCGGATAAGTGAAGTTGATTATCTATACCCAATGCCAGCCAGCCTCCTCGACAACATCGCCAAACTCGCGGTTGATGCGCTTCGAAACAGTTGAGTCTCTCAACGGCCCTCCTCCCAATGGAAAGAGAAGAAACTCTCCCCCCATGGCTACACAGTTTGCCAGCCGTGAATCGGTTTCAAAACCCGATCACACAGAAAGCCATGCTGCATCGAAGGAGTCAGCAGTCAGGCTGCCTTGCAGTATCAAATGTTAGTGCCGCGTGGATTGGTCGTTGAAGACTGGAGGACGGCTTCGTCAGGTAGGACGAGCCTGATTCCAGATATCTCTCGGTTGCGGCCTTGCTGAGGGGTTGCATCACGGGATGCTCACAGAATGGGGGTTGCGCTCTGCATAACGACCTCGGTTACCTTGTGTCTGAAGGTGAGATCCAGTCGATTGGAACAAGAAAAAACCTGGTTGCAGCAGTCCGGAGCCATTGAGGCAAACCTGGTCCACGACGTACAAAACACCCGATCGCAGCTGCAGGTGCTTCAGAGCCCGATGCCTCATTGGCCATGTCGCAGGTCCCTCGTGCCGACAAATGTGAACAGTCACTTGTAGGTTATGACAAGCAGATAATCTTGATGTGGCTCTCGTGCCCCTTCTGCGCGCTGTGCGATCAGGTAAGCCGATGCCTAACGGTGCCAGGAAACCGCAGGATCCTCATGCAATAGATGGCATACCACGGAAGCCCGCCCGGGCACCCAGCTGTCTTCGGACCCGTGACAAAAGCCTCGAGCCTGGTCTCCGAGGGGGCTAGGACGAAGCGGGGAGTTCGGATCGGCGTGACGGAGGAGGTTTGTTGGGGTACCTGTGATGCCGCTTGAGATCAAAGGTATTGGTGCCGTGAATGCCTCCGAGACAAGTGAAAGAGCGAGGGAAAAGCAGTGGCATCAGCCAAGCGGCGTCATGTCGTCAAGATACACCTAGTCACCTAGCCTGCATTTGCCAGCTGGAACCGATCGATATTTCCAAGGATTGCTTGATGTGCCAATGAAGATGCTGGTCGATAATCCGCCACAATAGCACACACTCTCGATGAGAACCTCGTTAGGTAGCGAGCCCCAGCCTTGGCCAGGCATTATCGCAGCCATGGCATGCCCCAAGACACCGACCGATCCGATCTGAGATGTTCTGTTCACACTGGTGGTGTTGTGCAGTCCTGCGTTCTGCGTTCTGCAGCTTCAGCCGCAAGGCCCTTTCCGCAGAGAGAATCCCGCACATTCATGCACGCCCACAGCAGCATAACGCCGATGCCATATAGGACATCCTGCCCAATGCGGTGAGCAGGTTGCCGTTGGGTGGTGGGCCGGAGGTTGGCGGTCGCCTCTCCGCCACTGCGGAACCGAATCAAATCGCAGTGTTTTGAAACATTCGTCCCGCTGCCGGACGAAGGCATAGATACCGCCCTCCGGCGTCAATGTCAGTCCTCCAAGGCCGACGTAACGGCATCTTAGAGCGTTGTTCCGCGGGCTACGGCGGTTGCGCAGCGAGGAGGGGCCAGCGGGATTCTATTTGCCGGATTACATGGCCCGAGAGGAGGAGGATTGTATTCCTGAATCCGGATGTGGTGTAAGACATGCGCAACCTCGTTGCTTTTTTTTTTCTCAGGATTGCCATTCGCTTAGACACAAAACACGACACCAGCCGCCCATCGTGTGTCGCCGCGTCAGGGATACAGGGTATTTTCCCGATCATTTCGTTCTCGACCGAAGAGGGGAGCAGGAGGAGGAAAAAGAAAACATATGGCTTGGCCTGAGGACCAGTTTTCGATAAAGTTCATGACTTGGCACCATGTGGTTAATCTCTGAGGGCAGATCCGATAACCGCATGCGGCGGCCCTCCCTCGTGCCTCGCGAACCAGCCAGCTAACGACGGTTCGTCAAGGTCCGCAGGTACTCGGGACTTTGAAGTTGGACAAAAAAAACAGGCATGACACTCGATCGCTCGACGGTGCTGCATTGCTGTCGAGATGAAACATTCTACAAGAGCTCACAGTTGGTTCTCCGGCGTTTTCCAAGCCATTGTTTGCTGGGTCTGGCCGGTTTTGCCGTGCGCTTGTGACCATGAGGCCATGCCTGCCGGCCGGGGCAGTGCGGGCATGGGACCCGCGTTAGCTGTGGCCTGCGGCGGTGCCAAGGGGGTGCGCGGTGTGGCTGGAAGCAGCGCCGCTGGAGGGCGCCCGCACCTGAGTACGCCTGAGGTGTGTGCCGTGCATGCCCCAAAGCCTGGAGCTAGGTAGGTACACGACCTAGTACAGCAGTGGAGGCGGTAGGTAAGAGTAGGTATCCGTCCTCCGCTAGTAGGTAGGTGCCTGCGCTCCAGCTGGCCAGGCGCCTTCTATGCACGCAGTCCCTGCCGTCAGGTAGAGCGGGGGCACTATGGGAATATCAAAGCATGACCCCGGAATTAGGACCCAGTTCTAGCGTCGTCCACACCGTCTCTTTTAAGGGAGCCACGACTGCCAGGATCACGAGAACCGCAGACGCTGCTCTTGCACGCTCTGCTCTTCGTTCGTGCTGCCCCTACAACAGGCTCGCCGCCCACACAATCAGGTCGAGACAGTGCCACGGCAGCCCGATGGGCTCAATTGACCCTAATGCCTTGTCAGACACCTGTCTAGACTCGGCGGCATCTTCAACAACTCGTTGCAAGGGCGGTAGTCATACATACATGGAGCCGTGGGAGTGGCCGCCGCACCATGGATGTTCCCCCGGGCACTAGTTTTATTTCTTTCAAATCCAAGTCCACTCGGCCGCATTGGTCGGTGTGTATTCCGTCGTTCGGATGACTGCTCTTTGCAAACCAACCTTTCTATGACCGCCCGCCCGGCGACGTGGCAGCGAAACCTCGCTCTCTTCTTTTTCCTCCTTCCCCTCTCCTCTTGCTCGTGTGACGATCGTCGCCTATCAAGTTCTCCTCCTTCCCTTCTTCGCCGTCTCAGGCAGGGCAACTCGTCTCAATCCGTCTCCATCTCGCCCTCCGGCTGTGTGATTCCCCAGAAGCGAAAGACGCGGACAGCCCAACACACACCCCTCGTAGCAGCATACATTTAAAACCTGGCTCTCGCTTCCTCACCTCTCTGCTCTCTCGATTTCCAGATCTAGCTGATCCCCACCGCCCTCCGGCACCGCCCTCCGGCACCGTACCCTCCCGTCCAGCGCCTCGCCATTGCCACTGTGCCGTACCCGAGCCTACGTTGACGTCCTTCGAGTCACTGGAGTGGCTTCGATTGCCAATCATCGTTTTGTTGTTCCTGCATTAGCAAGGCTGCCTACATATCACATACATCTCGTGGTTACCGTCACAGCGCCCGTCAAAATCCCGACTTCCTCCCCGTGCTTAATCGACGGCATTGTCACTCGTGGTCAGGTTAGACAGACCACAGGGGGTGGTTTCTACCACGCTGGTACAAGTATAACCTTGTGCTGCTGACTCCTCGCGAGCCTCGCTCACCCATCTCACTCAGCGCGCCTGGCCCAGGAGCACGAGAGTAGGTGTGGCCAAAAACGAATTAACTCACTAGTCCTCCCAGCCGCTGTAATCCAAGCAAGTCTCTATTCATTGCTTTTCGTTGCTGAGGACCCGGGTCGGCAGAGCCTCATCTGAGCAGGCGCTGAAGTTGACGCCGGATCGAAGCGAAGAGCGCAGGCCTCCAGGATTACGGGAAGCCAAGGAAGGAACCCCAAACAGCCATCCGGCAAAGCTCTCAAAGTTGAGAGACTTCGAGGATCAGATCGCTGCATCAGGCCCAATGCCTGTTCTTCTCATCGAGCGTCGTTCTTATTCCGTTCTGAATCCTCGGTCGGCTTTCTGAGGATCGGCTCCCAGGCAGAAGCCGACACAGCCGGATTGACATAGCTTCCTCCTCGAGGAACTCGCGGCTTGAAGTCGTGAGAAGGGAGTTGCCTAGCTGCCCTGAGCTCTGCCTTTGGCCGCCCTTGGCCGCCTATTTTGCTGGTGACGCATCAAGCATCGTCTAGGTCCTGGCCAGGTTCGAGACACACGGTATTCGCGGTATTCTCAGCCCTGAGGCAATTGAAAACCAGTTTCCGTGGCCTTGTTGGTGGGGTGTCATTAGCATCAATCAGTTCCAGCGTCTTGGGAAGGATCATTTTGCCTTGGGTTTTGCACAGCCTTGTATGGGCGTTCTTGCCTACCTAGGTACTAGGCCAACCATACGCGACCTGACTTTCAGGGGCGACAAAAGAGAGGCAGCCACCACCACCTACCTCACTTGCACCCTTCTTTCGACGGGGCCAACTACCCAACCCCAGAGGCTCTAGTTGCTCACAGGCGGGGACCAATACAACTAGGACGTCCTCGTCCCCAATTTCGACATCCAACACACTTTGCCTGACAGCTTGGAAAACCAAGACCGACCCGGTTCGTGGCGACATATTCGACTGAAACTTGGCTTGCACTCAACATCTTTTCGACATCCACCGGCATTGCCTTCACCACGGCCATGATAAACCCCCACGACGCGGACATGGCGTCCCAGCCTTCGGGACCGGCCCTCGCCAGTCTCCATTACGCATACCCCACGGCCATCTTTGCTTATTACATTACCTCCTCGACCATTGCCGTGTGCACTTTGCAAACCAGGTCCTCCGAGCAG